CATCATCATCATCGAAACTTAGTGTTGTGGAACCAAATACTGTTTAAATTTCATGAACAAACACAATAAAGATTTAACATCTGTATTACAGTTTGGGAATGACATTCGTTTTGAGTAATATTGCGAAAAACCAAGGCAACACTCATAAATGAACTACTGAATATAGAAGTCTGTTTCTTTATGTTTGAAAATGTTCATATTCTGGCTAAAACGTTGCTGTATGAAGATTTCCTGTGCACAGTGATAAAGATTCCCAAAGATGTCTTGTCTATTTACCATCTTGGTTCTTACAACTGACTCGAAATTTTGTGGGCATTATATGACTTTCGACAATTTGCAAAACATAATAATTAGGAAGTCTTTTTACTGTTTTAGATACTAATTCTGATCCAATACCTTAATGAATTTTTTTTTGGGTTGACTTTCGAGTAATTGCTTGCGCTGAACTGTATCAAAATCAACAGCCCTGAAATGAAGTAACTTGAGCGCCTTTGGCTCTAAAATATAAGGTGCCCGCAACAAGAGATCTGAGGTTTTTCTGACTAACTTCGTTTGATGTATACAACGACTACCGCAATTTACTGCTCCGACCCAATCAAGCACATTCGACTGGTAGGATAAATTTTTACTGCATCGTACAAACTCGCATCAAACCAGTTCGACGTCGGGTGAGTTTTGCACGTGTATTAACCACACTCGCTGATAAGAAATGCTCCCGTCTGGTTCTGTTCAGATAATATACAGGTCATCTTAGCTCAGATCAAAGGTCGGCATCAACAAACAGACGAGAGATTAAGATAAAACTCCGTGAAGCTCTTCTGAGTTAGAATTTCGGCATCTCCGTTGAAATTGGGCGGGTCGTGGGTGTTCTAATACAGTCTGCTCTTTCTACTTGTTCACGGTGTTGCTACAATTTGAAGAGACTTTATTAATTACAATAGTTATAAATGAATTGATAATATGATTTACTATTAAATCATAATGTATACGTATCAATGCATAATCTTTATGATCATTATGAATTAATCAACATAGATCAGTATGATTTGAGAAGAATCAGTTGTTAAAATCAAATCCCTTGTTTCTACGTACGTGATTGCCAACTCACAGGGTAAACCAATTTCAAAATATTTTATATTTTTGAGTCATCTTTTATCTCAAAAGAAGAGGGGAGGAAAGGGGGGGGGGGTAAACAATGCAGAGCGGGTGATGTACGAGGGTACAAATGTGTCTGGGGGATTAGAGAAGATGGATTAAAAACCTTGAAATACCTGGATAGGCGGGGAAAACGAAAACGGGGATTTTGTGAACCGATAAAAATGCGTAGAGAGTCTGGAGCTAGAGAGACTTTGCATTAAAATGACCCCCCCCCTCCTTTCCCCCTTTTCCCCCTCA